ACATAGGTTACGACTTCTGGTTTTGCTTAATTTTAATAAAATTACACTTGGTTGTGTAGTTCCCAGGAACCAATTCTCTAGGAACCAATTCTCTAGGAACCAAAATGTGGTGAAAGATTTCAAACCTTCAGTTTGGCCAAAAAAAAAAATGAAGCAAAGCAGTTGTTTTGAGGAAAAAATGGTTATATCGTGTGGATACATAACCCTCTGAGAAAAAATGAATTCAAATCAATAGGAGAACTTCAGCTCATTCTTACTAAATAAAAACAGATGCCACACAAAGTAGCCTTTTACAACTGAGTCGATCATCCACACCCTGAAAGAGATGCAGCTTCACTTGAAGGAGGGAAGCAAAGCAGCGGGGTGTGGATGTCAGTGTGTGCACATGCCCTTGTGTCCACCTCTGCAGCACTTCCTGACACAGAGGGGCAGGTTTAACGCTCCGGCAGTGGCCAAAGGCAACGGCTTCATCAGCCATGCACTTTTAAACACATATTTAGAATTGATATCAGTGGTTTAACATCGGTTTTGTTAAACTTAAAGAAGCAAATCACAATGAAGGAATAGATGTGCTTTTCAGGAATTTATTGCCTTTTAAAATTATTTTTTCTAAATGCAGATGGTAGCCATAATGCAAAGTGAATAATAAATAATGATTTTTTTTTTACTAAACTGCTCATGCCTCTTACTCTGAAAGCAGGTTGGCTTTATCTTGGCTTTATACTTAACCTGCTGTCCCTGCTCTACATCTGGATAACTCACTGGCTGCACACCATACATTAGCATATGCCCATACAACTTAGAAGGAGCATAAGAATCACGCAGAATTTCATCTGCTTTGAACTAACACACGTGCAAAATCTCCTGAAAACACTCACCTATGTATTAGCACAACAGCATTTCTGGAACCAAGGGTACACAGGTACCTGACACGTTTTCCACAAACATTTTGGCAGTAAGAGCCAGCCAAACAAATGTGTCTTGATTGTAAATGGGGAAAAAAAGAGTGGTGCTGTGATCCCTCCCAGACAGAAACCTTTGGCAGAAGGCAGCAGGCTCAAGCCACTATCACTCCCAAAAGCTTCATCACAGTAATTAACCACAAACGGTTAATCACAATCAGAGCTGGTCGAAAGCTACATCCACCAATTCTATTGACGTGAATGTTTAACCAAAAACATTCAGGTTACTTGTTTACACAAAACACAAGATTTAGGGAACGGCAAGCAGAACTTGAATAATGCTCTGCCAGGCAGAAAAGCACTTTTTATCTTACTACAGATTAATGACTTGTTAATAGTGCGGTTAAGCACTATCAGCAAGGCGGCAGTCAGCTGGGAGGTAAGATGTGACTCGCAGTGAATGCCTTTGGGCACGGACAGACTCGTACATCCAAATGAATCATGACTTCTGCCAAAGCAAACTTAAGGCTATACAATTTATGCAAAAACCAAATTCTTAGCTACATGTTTAGTCAAATAACATGACAGCTGGATAAGACCCAGTAACTATCTCTTACAACCAACTCAGCTTCAATTATATGGTGGTTTTTATTCCTGCTCTGATTGAATAAGAATTTAGATTTTGGAAATGTATTTCATTTCTACCTACTTCACATTGACATTATTCCCTGCATAAATACCAGATCTCAAGCAGTTCATCACTAGAGATGAGATGATCCTTAACACCAGGAAATCAGGCTGCTCTCTGGTATCAAACATCTGCACGGAAGAGAACCATCATTAGCCAGTACCAGCCAGCGAGCTCCTTGCATCCCCTTAAAGAGCTGTTCAAGACAACACGAGCCCTAATTCTCCAGAGGACTTTTGTAACAGATGGGAATGAGGCAAATGCATTAAACAATTTAGATGATTATTTCCAGAAATACTTCTACAGTACTCAAGTGTCAAAATGCTTTTAAATCAAGCAAATAGCACGTGGCAAGACTTACAAAGCTGACTACAAGAATGAGATGCTTATACTCCACGAAATCCAGTTGATTTCAGACATACAGTCCCACCTCACTTTAAAAAATTCACTCATGGCAGGCAGCAAGACGTGAGCAGTATCTTAATGAGTACAGACCCCAAGAGAAATAAAACAACATTTTAATGGAGGCATATTTTCATGGATTACGTCACTATAGAAATGATTCTTTTACTTTTCATACCAAAATGCGTTATTACATTACAAGGTCTGCCTTCAGTGCAGCTCACCAGGTTTCTGTAACGTCTCCTCCTGTCCCTGATTCTCAAAGTATTTGAGCCTGATGCACATTCACGTAACTGTGGTTCGTGACAAAATACAAGGTCATGCCTCGTCATTCTGGCTCCTTCAATATCATTTTCAGATACCTCATCCTAGCCAAGCATGTCCTCGATTTTCTGTTTTCAGAGGAGGTTTCCTGGTAAGCGCTTAGAAAAGGCAAAATGTCACTTTAAATAACATTTCTAGTGCAAATACCACAGCAACATAGCTTACCCTGTATGTTTTTACAATTATTTTCAGCAATCTAAGCACGAGGAATTGAATATACTGCTTTAACCTCTGCCAAGTACGGTTCTTATACTTATTGACAGCTGGTGTTGATCATTTGAACTGGAAAACTTGCAGGAAGGAAGCACCTGAGTTCAGCTCTGAGTGTTCTCCAAAGTATCCAGGAGTGTTTTATGACACTGTTCAACGTCTTTAATCAAATACTTCATTACCGGCTGGCAGAAACTCTTTGTTGCTGTGAACTCACTCAGCACAAAGTTATTTTGTTCATAGCACGGCCATTTCCTTTTCAAATTTGCAAGGTTACCGCGCATCAATCTCCTGCTGCTGTGAGCCTGGCAGTCTTTTCTCTAAGCTTTTCTTCTCCTGAAGGTGACAGTTTCAACGGCTCTTGAGTCTTTTAATGCTCAGGATTTTTTCTTCTTCTCCATTCCTAATGATTTCGGGCCACCTACATTATTTTCTGTAAGCCTTCCATACATTCCTTGGGTTTTTTAACAGAAAATTTATGACAATTTCTGTTTTATTTCTTTCCCCCTGTAATTTCTGGCTGAAGCCCACCACAGTAACACTGGCAATCCAGGACACACCAAGTATTTATTGCACAGGCAGATGCCCTTTTCTGTCCTTAAATTTAACCTAGCAAATATCTACATAGTTTGCTCATTCAGTACCAAAGGTATTATATTCTGCTGCTTAGCAGGGATTATTTGTTCCAGGTTAAATGTAATGTTAAAGAAACCTTTGCAACTTCCAGGTAGCTGGGGATGTGCAGAGCTGCATCACACGTGCCTGTAAAGGACACTAAAAGTCTCCTCTCAGGTATCTCTAAACATGAGGTGCTGTTGGAGTCCAGTAGTAAGAGCTGAAAAAAATCCTTCTCTTTAATTCTGCCTCGACCACTGCCTGTTGAGCACTACTGAACACATCACATGAGCTTCCCTCGTTTGCTTTTCAAGGTATGACACCAGAATACAGCTATTCCATAAGAATATTGCAAAACCCGAACATCAGACAAGCTTTCAGTGCTTCTGTTGTCTTCTGAGACTCCTCGCTGCCTCCCAGCTCTCTCCAGCGCTACCAACATTCCCCATTTTGCCCATCCATGGGTTAAATACCTCAGGTAACTGCATTCCTATAAGGCCTTCCCTGCATCCATCTGCAAAGCAGCTGCTTTCTTGACTGTTAAGTACCACGCAATGGTCAGCAAGAGCCATTTCAGAATCAAAACACTAACGATGATGAGAGAAATGCATTTAAAAATCAAATAAAGCAATACAGCAGACCGAATACAGGAAAAATCAGACCAGCTTTAAAACAGAGACACAAGAAGAAAAAAAACCAACAAAAACCAAAAACCCAACCAAGATAAAACATCTCAAAAATTGTAAGGGTGAACTGACTCGCTCCCTGGAGCTGGCACCAAGCGGCAGGCGGGATGCCTACCAACACGAAAGGCAATGAGGATCCAGCAGCCAAACCAGAGAGCAGTGGCTGTGGCTGCTGATGCTGCAGCCTGCGGCTGGCCCGCATTAGGGTAAGTGAGCTGGATGCAGGCCAGAGGGATTGAACAAATGGCACGGCACGTTCTGGAGGAATCTGAGGGGAGATTGCTAATATCTTCAAGGTGACCTTTCACATGTGCTAGCCCAGCAAATCGGGTGATTCTCTTGGCTATAATGGACGAGATCAGCAGAGGTTGAAGCTATGCACTCTTCATACAAATAGGATTTTTTTTTTCTTCTTACATCTGTAATAATTGACTGTGCCTCATTTGAGCAGAGTACCCTAAGTGCTTTATTGGTTTACTTCACCCCTTCCCCCTGTTTCAAGGAAAACATCATCAAACTTTCCATTATTCATTATCATCCAGGCAGGCAGCGAGCTAAAAAAAGACCTCTAATTTTTAGCCATGTTGTCTATTAAAAAATGTAAAACATCTCCTAAAAGGGCAGGTGCATTAATTAAGGTTGCCTCAGGGTAAATGAAAATTACTAGGAGTGCTCTGCTTTCCTGAATGAGTTTTCCATAGATTATTTATAATTGAATGAAGCCAATTACAGCATTTGTAATGGATACTGTACATAAGTTTAACATTTCCACTTCTGTAGAAGCTGAAGAGCATCCTGCAATGAACAGAATAAGGTCTCTCCATTTTTATGAAGGGAAAAGAGAAGGTATCTCCTTTTCTGAAGCAAGTTTTCCCTAAGTAAACCACACAGTAATTACACTGGGTACAAACCCCATCAGCACGGCCCAAAAGGGCCGCAGTGTAATTGGGAATCAGGCCCCGGGGTCTCAGAAGCCACCTCCCAGCCGGAAATCCTGTGGCTGTGGATTGAGCTCCTTTCCGCTTCTTCAGAGGAAGAAACGCAGCTTAATTGGGCCCCGTTTTCTAAACCACAATTATCCTCTGTAACTAATCAGTGAAGTTTTAAAGCAGTATCAGGCTAAATACTTGCTCAAATAGTGGAACATGCTCTGTCTTCAGAACATATTCTTACCCTGCCGACAACTAAAACGGCTCGAAGCCTGAGGATAACGCACACTGGCACGTAGTTCTCATTTTCACACAGAAAACCCCCTTTGCTGTCCTACAGAGCAGACCCGAAAACAACACGCAATCTTCTGCACACAGACTTCACAAGTGAGACAAAACAGGTAACTGGGGAAAAAATAATCCACGGCGTTTCAAACACAACAGCACTTTCTGACTTCATATTGAATGGAAAAAGCAAAATGTTTGAGAAAGACCTGAATAAAACTATTTGAATAACCAAGAAAACCCTCAGCCTGAAGGGCACTTCAGAGAAAATTCCACTTCCACATGAGTTAAAAGCAATGCACTTACTGACTTCATCCATAATTATCTGATATTACGAATTTTACCCTGTAAGCTTAGGAAATGCACATTAACTGAGGCTGACAAACGCAATGCAGGCTTGTTTTAGTGTTTTCTAACATGCTGCATGTATTGCAGGAAGTATCTGTCAGACCATTTCTGCTGCTAGTAGTCAGAAAGTTTAACTTTATTCCCAATTACTTCTGCATAATCAGCAGTGAAGCCATGCAGCGATTTCAGAGGTATCTATCTATAGTCAGGTAAAACTAATATATATAATAGTGTACTTTGATTTGTGCACTGTTTCCCTTCTAGACTCATACAAAAGTGAGATAACTACAACTGGCAAGTGAAAATGTTACCTGATTAGTAGAAGTGGTTGGGTTTTTCTATAATCTACGTATGTAAGTCTCTGGCTCTGTGGTACCAAGTATCTTGGAAGGTTACAAACATACAGGCATTTTTCTCCTAGTAAAATACTTCCTTAGTTTAAAATATCCTTGGCATAGCTTCTTCCTGTAGACTCTGAAATATCTTTTCTCTCACATAACATGGTGATCAGATTTTAGCACAGAAATTAAATATTTAGATTTGTGCATTTCCTTCTAATTCGTTCTCTGTACTAATTTATTTACGTTCAAGACAGGCGGTTCTAACCGCGTATTTTAAGTGAGCCTTTACCCTGCTTAAGGCCACACTGCTGCACTTCTTTTTCCACTGACAGACACGTTGAACCGCATACAGATGTAGTCAGCTGCATCGTTAGTCATTTCAGTAATTGCTGGCCTAATCTTCAGCACCTCCAGAGAACACCTGCCAGTCATACGCTGCTATTACTGACGAGACAGTTCAACCGTCCAATTCCTTCCTCCTTAACCTACCACGTACAAACATCGGATCCACTTAAAGTGTATTTTTATCCTTTACTTATGGAAACGCTGTCAAGTAAGTTTGACTTTTTCATGCTCTTCTTCCATCTTTTTTATGACAGGTGCACTCATTATAGACTTGTACCACCTCCCTGATGTCTCAGCCAACACAAAAGGAAAGGGACTGTAAAATCATGAAAAAGTTAACTTCTTTGTCTTTATGTAGAAACACACTCCTCTATTATACCAATTTTATATATATATAGACACTTATATATATATACCATTATATCAGGTCCTGTGGAATGTCCTCATATCACAGAATCACAGAATGTCAGGAGTTGGAAGGGACCTGGAAAGCTCCCCCAGTGCAACCCCTGCCACAGCAGGATCACCAGAGCAGTCACACAGGAACACGGCCAGGGCTTTGGGTGTCTGCACACAAGGAGACTCCACAACCTCTCTGGGCAGCCTGGGCCATGCTCTGCCACCCTCACCCTCACCAAGTTTGTCCTCATCTTCAGCTTGAGCCTCCTGTGCTCCAGCTTGGGACCATTGCCCCTTGTCCTGGCATTGGACAGCACAGAGCAGAGCCTGGCTCCTTCCTCCTGACACTTACCCACATGCTACAGATGCTTACACGCCAGGGAAACACTGCTTCAAGAGTTACAGATGGTTTAGGTGTAGATGTTTTAGATGAACACACATTGTTGATACCAAGTATAATACACCCCAGTTATTTTGTTTAGCAAATTCTGCAGACAAGCCAGTGCTATCTGTTTTACAGGGTTGCTTCTCAAGGTCGAAGCTTCCCTCTGCCCCCCCCTTTCATTTCAAAGCAGACTCTGAAAAAAAATCTGTAATGTTTTCACAGACTATTAAACAAAGATCCAGTTGAAGACTTAAAGCTGATTCAAAGACAACGCCAACTTGTTTAAATGTTTATTCACTAGATAATGAATGTGATCAACGGGAGTAGAGAATAATTAGAGAGCACTTACTGTAGCAGAGAGCTGGGGTCCATTCAACTGAGCGTGCAGGATGGCTTCGTTGACGGAGTTCCTCATCCCCGCCAGCGCAACTTCCAGATCATGTGAGGCTGCCATCTCGTTCGTCAGATACTCCAGGGTGGAGATGTACTCCCTCCACTGCGCGTCCAGCTCCGACACGCTGGCCAAGCAGCCCCTCATCACGTTCAGGCAATACCCCACGCAGGGCCTGATCAGCGTCAGGCCCTGGCAGTGCGGGCAGTACTGCATCTTCACCAGGGCTCTGCTGCACTCCTTGCTGAGCGCTGCGTGTTCAGTCGTATTTATCACTTCGATGCCCAGACTCAGGGCCTGGCTGAGCATCCTACTTGCCCAGAGAGATTTTGACAGCTCCGTAACCATGTTTTTAGAGTAGCGTCCAAAAGGATTGATGTCTTGCCTTGTAAGCCGCAGACACTCCATGTAGTCCTCTGATAAATCTGTAATTCCTGGGTTTATTAGCCGGCTGTACACCAGAGGAAAGAGACTGTCAAAGAACCGCAATACTGCGCTTTCCACTGTAGTCTCTGCACCCAGAATGTAGAGAGAGATGTCCGTGAAGAGCTCTTTAATGGGCTCTGCTGCTTCTTTCGCCACAGGTCTGTAAGCAGTCTCAAACAGGGCACTTGTGCGGTTTTCAGCAAAGCGAAGCAAAGATTCAAAGGCCTCTAAAAAAGGGACAGGGGAGAGAAAGAACTAGAGGTTAATAGCAAGCACCTGACATCTTTGTCACAGGACTAGTGTTGTCCTGAACAGGAACATCAACAGCTAGATGAAAACTGCAATACGAATACACTAATAGTTACTACAGTTTTCTTCAGTAATATGACTAAAAAGACACCTAAATATTACATGTTCATAATAAAAAAACCACATAATACACAAATATTTTCTTGAAAAGAGATGAGTTGTGTTCTCAGTAGCTGGACCCGGACCCAAACTCCTGAGGTCAATGAAGGACCCCCATGGACTCCAGTGAACACAGGCAGGGTTTACGATGGCTTCTGACACTGCACTTGGGCAGCTCAAATACACACACTTCCAAACACCCCTGTGCATACCAGTGACACCAGCTTCCAGCACACAGGCAGACTGCACCGTGTTCAGTGTTCCCATAAAACTCCAGAGGGGATCTACTTGAATGGGCAAAACTATTTACGTGATGCAAGCCTGGAACTGTGAGACAAAGCAGTGGCTGGTAGCAGGAGGGTCTGTAACACACCAGTCACACACCAGTCACACTGCTGCTGCCACACCGGACTGAATCAATAATGATACAATATCCACATTTATTAACGGGGGGGAAATTCACATTCAAATGTCTTGTCAAGAAGATGCAGTGAAGTCAGAGAATTACACTCACAGAAATGCTGACCCTCATTCATTAACTGTACTTTTCAACACAAAAAATGAAACATTTTAATCATTTAATAGTTTACGAAAGTATCTTGATAACCTAGTACCATCTTAAAGTTACATTAGCTTTTCATCCCAGGTGATCTGCTATGAAATCCTTAAGAACGGGAAAAAGCCCAAGACATTTGCGGCCAGACTTCTAAAGCACTCCTTGTACAGACTGGGAGAGCTGACATGCGCAGTAAATACACGCCAGAAGGATGGATGATGCCGAGCTGACACACAAACAGCAACTGCAGAAGAGCTGCTGGCCAGCAGCTCAGTGAAAGCTTGGGAGAACTGAACACGAACACGAGCTGGAGCTTTTGTTTTACACCACTGGGAGTGGGTGGCCGAAAAACTTTCACTTCTCGAAGAGTGCACGTCCAGGTTGCAGGAGAGATCCTGCGCCAATGCATCCTCTCCCCTCAGCACCGGCTGGGTCTGGACACCAGCCAGTGGTCGGGCAGGACGTGACAGCAAGTCTGCTGTCAATGAGAGCCAAAATGAAATAATGAGGTCAGGAAAACAGTGTCGCCTTTAACGACACCATTTTTGAGTATCCTAAAAACTATCTATTTCAGGACTGCCGCTGTTAACACATTTCAGATTGCAGACAGCAAATATTATACCCCCAAAACACTGACTGGGGTGCTAGAATTCACAGAGGGGGCAAGGAAGGGATCAGTTCCTAAGATTATTAGTAAGGATGCAGAAGACAGCAATCCACACCATTCCCACTGCTTGCTTTGGAAGCGCTACAACAAAAAGCCTCTGACATAAATCATTCCTGTGCTCCAGTCAAGGCAGCAGACCTGTCACGTTAGATCTCCAGAGGACTGGCCAAATAATTGGTTGTCAGTCTAATCCCACTCCACATTCATCCGAACATCACCACGCCATTCACTGCGGTGTTACACAAAGCGAAGTCGCTCCCAGATCAGCTGAAAGGAGCAGACACAATACTGGAAGTCAAGATTAGCACACACCAGGCAAAGCCTGCTCAGCGCCTTCCTCCGTCACAGCTCCCTGGGCGACTCGCTCACTTGTTCCGATCAGCGTTACAATCCCTTTATCACGAAGGGTGATCTAACCAGACAGATAACACAACGTATCGCATTGTACATTAAATCATGGGGATTTTACACACACGTGTGCACGCTGTTGCCTTCTGCCAGAGAATCACTTCAGCACTCCCACTGGTATTACAGCAACGAATGCTCAGGGAGAGCTTGTAAAATCCTCATATTAAGAATCCAGATACACTTTGGTTGCAAAAGAAGAAAGTTCATCTCCAGGCAGACAAACACCTTGCCAAGTATTGGACTGGAGCAGACTTCCACAGGTGAAAAATCTTCTGAAAACTGGATTTGTGATGGAAATATTGACACAACCTGAACCGCGGTGCAGTTCTAGCTGTGTGCTCCTGTGCTCAAAAGTCTTTGTTTGCCACATCAACCCTAAGTGTTTATTTTTATTCCTAGGAGAAACCCAAATACCAGAATCCCAGGATGTCAGGAGTTGGAAGGGACCTGGAAAGCTCCCCCAGTGCAACCCCTGCCACAGCAGGATCACCAGAGCAGTCACACAGGAACACGGCCAGGGCTTTGGGTGTCTCCACACAAGGAGACTCCACAACCTCTCTGGGCAGCCTGGGCCATGCTCCATAACCCTCACCCTCACAAAGTTTGGCCTCATCTTCAGCTTGAACCTCCTGTGCTCCAGCTTGGGACCATTGCCCCTTGTCCTGGCATTGGCCATCCCAGAGCAGAGCCTGGCTCCTTCCTCCTGACACTGCCCTTTCCCAATGGATCCCCAGGAATGAGGGCACCCCTCAGGCTCCTCTGCTCCAAGCTCAAGAGCCCCAGCTCCCTCAGCCGCTCCTCAGCAGGAGATGCTCCACTCCCTTAATTATCTTTCTGATTGACTTCATTTTGGGAGAATGGTTCCCATGCTACCATTCCTGTGTTGGACCTGTGGAAAGAGAAGGAAGTAGGTTCGGGCTCATTCATAATCCAGCAAGTTGGAAGTTGCTTCGCCTTTCCTAATGCTCCCCCTCAGAACCCTGGCATTACAGAATTCAGAATCACTATAGCTTGTGAAGGTCTGGTGTAAGAGGGGGAGCAGATCAACTTTATGTGTGACTATCGTACATCAGCTCAGATTTTCCTGGATAACTCCAGTCTGTGTGTATTCACTGAGACCACATCTGCTGACCATCATTACACGCACTGTAAGAAATTTAGGGTTTACCCTAAAGGCAACCCTGAATGCAAGCTCTGGTTACTGCCGTGTCCATTTATTTCAGTGCATCGTTGTGTCGAGGCCTTCCTTCAGGCTGTGTTGTCATGTATCTGCGAGCCTGGAAAAAGGAACAGTTCTTCAGAACACACCCGGAAATGTTTTTGGGACAGAAATTGGTGTGTGGCAGTTCTGCACCTTTGGTTCTTGTCCTAAGGACGAGGCTGCTGGACAACGGGTGGTGCCCGGACACAACCTGGGAGAGCTGCTGCCCCTGTCTGCACTGTGGCAGCAATTTAAAACCACCAGAAGCTGTTCCAGGGTTAGCGTCAGTGAGTGCACGCAGTGTTTACGTGACATGGGGAACTACTCACAGCTGTAGTTACAATGTTAGATATTTTTGTTTTGTCTGTGCTGTTACTTAAAACCTACTTGTGCTTTTCCAAAATCAACTTCCAGGTGGTAAAAAAACAGAGGAAATCTTTGGAAAACGCTGATACAGCGGTGTTGAGCAGACTGATATGTGCCTCCTAAATCTGTTTCTCCCTGTGGAAACAAATTCTGCAGCTTCTTCTGACATAGATGGGCTTAAATCAGGATTAAATCCTCCTGAGGACGTCAGCAGTGTTACACTGGTGCAAAACCAGTGTGAGGGAAGTTAGGAATCTCTTGTGATTTTCTCATTTCATTGGGGATATGAGATGTAGCTGCTGGCTGGTTTAGGAGAAGACAAACATCCTTTTGTGTCAGGATGGGTGTTTTCCTGTCAGAAGAAAGCTGTTGCTCCAAACCAAGCTGTGCCATGCTCGTGATGAATAAGCACGGATACTATATGTGCAAAGCACTGCTTTTCCATCTGTGTTAGACTGAACATCATATAGTTTTTAGTGTACACGAATGCCAGGAACCAGGCAGGAAGCCCAGCGTGCTCTGTGGTGCCAGTGGAGCCAGCATCTTGTACCCAAACTTGCCTCCAGCAGATGATTTCCAAAACCCAGCAGTGTTTCCAGAGGTGAGCTGTATTTGATCAGCAGTGTTTGGCCATCACAGACACAGCAGTGTGGAGCAGAGGAGACTGAGGGGTGCCCTCCTTCATGGGGATCCATTGGGAAAGGGCAGTGTCAGGAGGAAGGAGCCAGGCTCTGCTCTGGGATGGCCAATGCCAGGACAAGGGGCAATGGTCCCAAGCTGGAGCACAGGAGGTTCAAGCTGAAGATGAGGCCAAACTTTGTGAGGGTGAGGGTGGCAGAGCATGGCCCAGGCTGCCCAGAGAGGTTGTGGAGTCTCCTTCTCTGCAGACACCCAAAGCCCTGGCCGTGTTCCTGTGTGACTGCTCTGGTGATCCTGCTCTGGCAGGGGTTGCACTGGGGGAGCTTTCCAGGTCCCTTCCAACTCCAGCATTCTGGGATGCTGTGATTCTGTAATCTAAGCACCTCTGTGCACGATTTCTGCCGTGCAGCAGCTGAGGCTCAGCTGTTTGGGCCGACTGCTTGCACCCCTGTGTCTTCAGGGCCATAAAAGCGAGCACAGGGCAGGACAGGCACACGGGAAAGGGAAGTTACTGCCACTGCCCTTACACTTCTGTGCAAGACTCGAAGCTGGCGCCTTGTCCACAGAATTGACAAGGTAAGACCTCCCTGCCCATGCAGCAGCTCTCCAAGATATTGGGAATTCCTTATGCGCCACCGTAATGTGTGAAGTTAAACTGAAAAACCTCTAGACTTCTATAAAAACAGAAAAAAGGAAGCCATTCTATTAGAAACGTTACTGAAAAGATTCAGCAATGCTCAATAAACCAAAAGTAGAAGCAGAGGCTGAAACTATCTATACAGAAATAACATCTGTGTGCATTTCAGATTTGAGTGTAATCACGAAAGAACAATGACAATTTTAAGTAGCTCCATGACTTGTTTGGTCTCTTAGGACCACACCAATATTTGGCTCCTTTCCCTTCAACATCTTGCATTTATTACAGAGCTGGAGGATGAATGAAAGCTACAGTTTGTTGAACAATAGCTTCCTTCTCATGCTTTCAAGCCCATTAAATCTCCTGCATCGTTATGGTTTCCAAATTAAAGGGCAGCATATTAATATTTTGCAGCAGTAGAATTTAAGTACGTATCAGTTGCAACTGGATACATAGAGAGCAACGTACACAGAAAATCCCACCCAGTTACACATCAATGTGACACAGAAGTGATCCAATTCAGTTCAACTCTTCTGGATATGATCTCTAAACGTATTTAAAAGAATAAGAACAAAGAGAGCTCAAAAAACATCATTAAACAAGATGAATCACAGAATCACAGAACGTTAGGGATTGGAAGTTTTTTTTAGATCATAAGATTATTATAAAAGTAAGTAAGTGCAAAACAAATCGTGTCACGTTTGCAAAGACAGAAGCTGAAATTCATTCATTTGTTAAGCTGCTTTTAAAAATGTATTCTTAAAACTTTCGCCTTCATTTCTGTTTTATGACATTTTGCAGCAAAGAATGTCAAGTGCTGGAAGTTTCCTTCTGGTTTATCCTGCACCATTCTGCTGGATGCAGGACCAAAGCTCTTTATCAAACCCTACTTTTCATGTGTTTTCCTGTTGTTAGAATGGCAGTCTACCTAGACAGTCACCCTTGATGAAGTAATGAGAAATCAGGTGTTAATAAACATATCAGCAGTCTAACGGACATACAATGCCCTCCACATGGCAGCTGACGCTACAGCAGCACCAGCAGGAAACATAAGCTTGCTCCAGAACATTTTGGGTCAGAGAGAAACGTGAGAGCTCTCAGGATCTGGGCCAAGTGGAAGCATCTCTTGTTTCCTACTCACCTCCTGTAGCACCTTTAACACGGCAGAGTACAAAACGGATTGAAAAGCAAAGCCTGCTTTGGAAAGGGGGGAAAGTCAGAACTGCTCACCTTGATGGCAAGGAGAGGTGTGAAGTCTTGAGAGCTCATCAGTGCTTCTGAACATAGAGCACAGACAAAAAACCAGCTTTCCATTCCTGTGCGTTACGGCAAGGCCTTTACTTAGCAGTGTCCCCATGAGTTTGTCTGCACTGACAACATTGGATAAATATCCTGTTATGTCCCTGTTGACAGAAACTCTGCCCAAGTTAAAATGTAAAATCCGTGCTGCCTTCTCTGTCTGTACCTGACAGCTATGGACAACCCTGACTAATCACTGATCAATGGCTAGGATTATTTACAAGCTACTACCATCCTTTAACTCTCTGCTCAGGTCCAAGCATAATTTAAGACTGCTTTTAACTTAAAAAACAATGATGAAAATGGTTTAAACAAATTCCAGCAGTGAGACTTGCAGAGCATAGGAACACCCGGCCTTTCCCCAGAAGTCTCCCGTGCTGGGAGCTTGGACAGCCTTTGCCATCTGTAACACCAGACATGAGAAAACCTGGAGCAATCCGAGTTTCAGAGCAGCTACTGGATCCGCTACTGGAGCTTGGTAATGTGGGCAAAGCTGAGGCACTTAGGGAAACCCATTTCCAAATGGTCTGCTGGAAGACGAACTTCCCATGACAGCAACAAGAACCAGCACCATGAAGTACCATCTGAAAAGATCTGTCCTGGCATGAAAATCAGTCTTCTTTGTTGTTTTCTTAGGCACAGGTCTGTTTTATCAGCCTTGGCACAGCTGTGCAATGATGTAGGAAGCAACCACTCCCTCTGATCGCCGTCCCAGCCAGCAAACCCCATCCTCCTCTGAATCCAACAGTCCTACAGGACACTGATTTCTCCTACTACTTTTTGGAAACTTAAACAGCTTCTTTACTACGCAATCTTGTACAGAAAGAAGGGCAGGAAACATACAGCTTATATTCTGGTGAGA